TGCTCTGGAAAATGACGTCAAGATTATATTAGGCCACATAAATGCACAAATATCCAAAGAATAACAAAACTCAATTTTCAAAAATAATTGGGTTTTCAATCAATAGTCAATTTTGCAAAAAAACGTTATAATACATAAATATAATCAAAAAAACATAATCTAGAAACACTAAGGATCATTATACCGTCGTCAACCAAATTGATAACGTTTTGAGAGTCAAAAGAGTTGCCACGAACACCCTAATTATAAAAAACCCGAAGTGGTGCATGGTATGAACCACTTCGGATATGTGGCACCACCAGAATGGAAACCAAAAATGCAAACAGATCATACAAGAAAAAATGATACACACTTATTACGATATTGAACCACTTCGGATATGTGGCACCACCAGAATGGAAACCAAAAATGCAAACAGATCATACAAGAAAAAACGATACACACAAGAAATACATGTAAAGGAATCAAAAACTATAACAAGAACAACTTTTGAGGAAGCACGGCGAAGGGCGGAGAAAATACGTAGAAGTGAAAAACGAAAATTCAAAAGTGATAAGATACATAAAAATGGAACAGAGCCTTCGAAGTAACGATCTAAGAGAAACATATGAATGTCTTCAAAACCCAAAAGAAGAGTACAAACCCTAAACAAGTTAGTGTAGAAACCAAAACGGAGAAATAATTTAACGAAGTCAAATCAGTTTCAAAAACTAATTTCCAAGCTCTTCCAATATCTAGAATTGCGACGAAACGAGAGAAGGTATGAAGAGATAAGAGCCCTGACTCTTGAAGAACCCAAACAAGCAATACTGGCACAAAACGAAAATAACAAAGCGCCGGAATTCGACGATCTTCCTTTCGAACTGTTAAAATTAGATACTGAATATTCAGTAATGATACATGCAGACATACCTAAGAGACAAAAATTCCAAGCCATTGGAAAACAGGGTTTATTTGCTTAGTCTCCAAAAAAGGGACAGCCTTCAATGTAAAAAATGATAGCGATATGATCCTCTAGTGTTCAAATTATAAGATCTTTACAATCATCCTCAATGAGCGGTTTCAACTATTAAGTAAATATATTGGAGACTATCAAACCAGCTTTCGGCTAGGAAGGCCGACACTAGATCAGTTTTTCACTGTAAAATAAATTTTAAATAAATCTTGGAACATAATATTGATAACAATATTCGTTCATTTCAAATAGGCCAAGGACTGGATAAAGAGAAGCCAGTTCAACATCTCGAAATATATCCAACTAATTAAGCCAACGATGGACTTAACGATGAATTTGTTAAATTAAACAATCTGTTTCATTTTGTTACATTGAAAAATCTACTTACTACATAATTTAAAGGACAAAATTTTAAAATGCGGTATTTTTAGTATGTGTAAGGTGCTTTCTTCATTTTTTTGATGATTTTATGTAGAAATATTTTCTCCCTAGAATGACATTACATCCCAAATCGAACCTTGGCTTCCTCCAAACTATGCCTCTAACCTTGTCGGACCCGCGTCGATTTTCTTTAAGATCTCACGTCTAGCAAATTTTGCGCGTCAGCTGCAACTTTAACCTCCCACCTTTTTCGTGGCCTTCCTTTTGGTTTTGAGTCGTGCATTTTAATCTCTGGGGTTTTTTTCGGCAATCTTTCAAATTCTCACTCACATTCTCACTTCTTGACCAGCCCATTGAAGTCTGAAGTTTAACGAATTCTGAGATCTGTGTCTTTTACACAGTTGGTATAATTCATGATTGTACCTGGTTATCCATACTCCGTTTTCGTTAACAACTCCAAAAATCTAGTTTAGAACTTTTCTTTTAAGACTTTCAGCTTTCTTTTTGTATTTCCAAAACTCACTATTGGTCTGATAATAGTTTTGTAGAGTGTGTGTAGCCCTGTTTTTTTATCTCCATTATGTATTTTTGGAACGGAACAAATGGCCGAGTAAATAATAAGCTTTGTTTCCCTTTACCATTCGTCTTTAAATTTCTGGTTCTTCTGTTCCATCCGTGCTTAATACAACTCCTAGATATGGGAAACTTTCTACTATTTCAATATTGTTATTTTAACTGTGCGTCACATATTTTATTACATAAAATAACTTTAATAAGTGAGTTCCTTTGAAATATTCCATCACTTCATCTTGGTGCTACAGCCCTTAGAGGGCCTCGACCTTCTCAAGCTTTTTACGCAATTCTATTCTGTCCCTTGCTTGCATTTTCCAGTTGCAATTCTCGTCCTGGTTCTTGTTATAATGTCCACGTCGTCTGCATGTGCTAGAATTTGGATTGATCTATTAAATATTGATCCCCTGCTATCTAAATTATCGTCTCGTACAACTTTTTCTAAGGAGACATTAAAAAGCTGACACGCCAGCTCATCTCCCTGCCTTAACCTCCTATGTATTTCAAATGGGGTTGACGAGTCGTTTTGAATTTTTGCTGCTGATAGCATATTCGCCATTGTCACTTTTATCAAACATATGAGTTTTTTTGGAATTCCTAACTCATTCATAGCGTTGTAAAGACTTGGTCTTAACACACTGTCATATGTCGCTTTAAAATCGACAACAATATGATACATATCTATGTTAAACTCTTGCGCTTTTTCGAGGATCCGTCGTAGTGTAAAGATCTGGTTAATGGTTGAACGTCCACGCCTGAATCCTGCCTGATATTCTCCTAGAAACATTTCGGTATAAGGCTTTAATCTCTCGTGCAAAATGTTTGACAATATCTTGTATGCTGTATTTAGGAGAGTTATTCCGCGGTAATTATTGCATTCCAGTTGGTTTCCCTTTTTGTGTAACGGGCTAATTAAGCCTAAGCTCCCTTCTTCAGGCATTTGCTCCTCACACCAAATTTTACAAACAATTTCTCGCATCACTTTGGTGAGCTGCTCTCCACCGTTCTTAAATAACTCTGCTGGGATGCCATCGCTGCCTGGGGATTTGTGGTTCCTTAGTTTTTCTATAGATATTTTCATTTCATCTACCGAGGGGGTTCCAGAAGTTATTCATTTCGGTATTCCAGCTCTATATTGTTAGTAGGTTCCCCTTCCAGCAACTCTCGAAAGTGCTCTACCCTTCGTAAAAGGATATCCCCTTTGTTGGTAAGTAAGTTACCTTTCTTATTATTACAATAGTTAATTCTTGGTTTGAATTCTTTTCGAATAATATTTATTTGATGATAGAACTTTCTTGTTTCTATGTGACTCATATGGTTTTCCATCACTATCCATTCAAAAATTAGAAATTGAGAAACTCGAGCAACGATACGACAGCTAAAAATCTAAAAGAATTAACAGGAAAAAGCAGAATTTACAGGCAAAATAGATCACAAGACTCTGGTAGTAGTATTTTAAGTGATACTAAAGAGCACTGCACCGAATGGGAAAATTACATAATAGATTGATTAAAAGAGTACAAAGAATCTATCAAGAAGAAGAGTAGCATCTAATCGAGATTCTGGCCAACCAATTCTAATCTCAGAAGTTCAAAAGACCATGCGAAACGAAGGAAAGCTGGTCCTGACGAGCTACCTGCAGAATTGTTACAACTATTAGATTACGAGAGCGTTGCGATTATCACCTCCTACTTTAACAAGATAAAAATGGTAAATTGCCAGAGAACTGGCTAAAATAAATATTTATAGGTATTCCCAACAAAAGGAATGCCAGACAGTATTGCATTGTCGAGTATATAAACTTTGTGAGGGGATAACTGGTGATAAGCAGTTTGGTCTGTGAAACGGTATGGATACTCGTGAGGCTCTTTTTTGCCTGCGAATACCTATTTATACTCTGTTAAATAATGATGAAGAACTAAGAGGCACTGCACCTCGCATCGAATTGAAGATCTAGCTAGATACATTTAAATGGTAGCGCAATCAAGAAATATACACGATACTCAAAAGCGATAGGCTGTCAGGTAATTAGCTTAAATACTTGAATGACACAGCTTAAGGTAAAGGAAAACCATGTAAGAAAGTATGAAGCATATAAAGCCATATGTTTGAACTTACAAAAGGACAGCAGAGAAATAATATTGTGAATAAATTATAACTATACATATAATAATCACAGTATCTGTTCCCAAAAATATTTACACTTATTTTGTTGAATATTTGATTGCGTTAAACTCCAACGGATCAATTGTATAACAAGTAGGGTTGGAAAGAGTTGCGAATAATAATTATTTTGATATAAAATGGGGTTTCGTCAGTGACGTGTATTGGTAGCCTCGAATTTAATTTTTAAAACAAATATATAATTAAATTCATGGTTTATCATTAACAACTTTGAAACAAAAGCTACTATATTATTGGTAACATGACAACTTCTAATTTCACTGTTTGGGGGATTATTGGTTATAATTGATATATTATAAGGAGATTAATCCAAAGAAATTAGAAGACTAAATTTTCAGAAGACAGAACTTTCCATAACATCAAAACGTCAGACCATTACATTTTTTATTTACCACTGAGATAACTATGATACCTAAACAATGCGATAAAGATAGTTAGTCTTAGTCTTAAAGTATTAGCAATGTGATATAGGAAAGAACTACCTTGGTCTACTAATGCAACACAAACTATTTGTACGTTTCGTCAATAAAATAAATTTAAGGATAGTAAATAGACACTGACAGATTACATAATATGCCAAGCTTATGAAAAAGGGATCTAACTTTTATACCCCTAATTTGTCATTAAAACGGCCAATCAGTCTAAGCTTATAACTGTAAACAACTTGTATCACCATAGCAACAAGTGATTTCATAAGAAAGAGAGCGAGATAGATACATCCTTGTAAAGTGAGCGCCCGAAGCAAAACAACAGTTTCATTTCTATCACAATTTAAAAATTGTTTATTCCGTCATATCAAAAACCTACAAGGTCAGCACTATGCTAATTAGGAAGGTGTATAACTATCAGTATATTTTCTCATCCAATTTTTAAGGCAGAATTGTGAAATTTAAAAACATTATAAACTAACCTAGGAGCATTTGTATCCACTAAGAATGTCTGTCTAGTGGGTGGGTACCAAGGGTTCTCCATCATGTCCAATGTCACTGTACTACTAGATAAAATAGAAGAATACATCACTATTTAGTCAAAACACTTTAAATTATCCAGTGTGCCATTTGTTCTGCGGAAAAGTTAAGGAATAATGCGTAAATAACAAACGACTGCCGGCCGTCAGCGAACAATTTAGCGATAACAAAACGTACGAACATGTCAACGGTACAATTGAGACTACTCCGCGGTCGCGGCCAACTGCGTGCTTATTCGTCACATGGTCATAGACACTCGCGATTCGCGGATTTTCGCGGACAGCGCAGCTGACTGGAGCAATATTTTTGTTTTTCTCTCTTCTAATTTACGATATTCCAACAGAAGTCGTGATTGGTATGTGTTGGGTTACATAAGAAAGTAGTTACAGGGCGTTCTCAAATTACTTGTGTACAAGGAAGAGAGATATAAATCGATCAATAAGTAAAAGGGCCTGTCTAGTTTTATTTAAAAAAAACTTATTTGCATATGCGCAGGATAATTTTGTAGATCTAAAATTACCAAGTACATGTACAAGAACATAAAATTACAGGCAATTTATTCTTTTAACGAGGTGCATTTGATATACAACTATAAAGATAAAATTTTATATAAAAAATATTAAAAAATAATTATTTACATATTTACAATAGTAGATACATAATAATATGAAGCATACGTTATATTGGCATTTACACTCCTCATAGTCCAGGAGATGACGGTTTTCCACTCAGAATTCTTTTTATATGCATGGATTTGCTTTACATTTGACAGTAGGTAGAAAATAGCTGAACGATCAAAAACTACCCTATGCCCATATGTGCTTTTCCTCTGGGGGTGATTACCACTCCAACTCGGAGGTGGAAAAATTTTATCAAAAAAAAAAAACCATAGTAGTCGCTAAAATAGTGAATTTTAAGACAAAAATGGTCTTTAGGAGTTTTTTTTAAGTCGATCTTTTTGGAGTTATTCGAGACTAAAAGCTCAAAAATTACAGGTTAAGGAACGATTTTTTTAACGGTTTTTCGCGAGCAATTGTTATAAACTTAATATTAACAAAGTAATGGCTGTTCGGAAGTATAGTTTTATTCATCAAATACAAAAATCCAAACAGATGATGTTGAATAAGCGGAAAACGCTTAAAAATTTTTCATGGAAAACTTATAGAAACTTTTTTAAAGATCTTAAAAAACCTTTAAAATTACCAAAAAGCGATTTACATGAAAATTTAGCTAAGTTATACCTAAAATAAAATCCGCTTATATTTTTGTGGCGAAGAAAATAACAACTTCACCTTCGCCAAAACCACCCTGGTTGGAACTATTTGTGGTTCATTTACTATTTGCTTCACTTATATACAAACATTACATTCCTGAAGTTTAATTTGTTTTGAAGGTTTAGTTTTGAAAAAACCCGAGTTTAAATTATAGACACTATTTTCGAAATTTCTCAAGAAATCCCCTTTTTTTCGAAATGTCGCAACAACTAGAAAATGCTGGAATATAAAAATGCAGCTCTTTTAACTGAAGATTTTGATGTTTTTTTTTCTATAAACTAAAAATTAAACGAGATATGATTGTTTATAAGTTGAATTGGTATTTTTTTAGCATCATCTTCAATACAATTCAGCGCAACACTTTTTAAAACAAAGGGCTTGAAAAGATTTAATATACACCACATTAGTAGTTTATTTTAAAAGCTGAAAAGTGGTATATAATAAATTTTTTTCAATCCCTTTGGTTTAAAAGGGATTGCGATGAAAGCGCTTGAAAATGGTGCTAAACACATGCGAATACAACCTTTAACAATCGCGGTTGATTGTTAGTCTATAAAAATAAATAAAATAAAAATTAAAAACAGATTTGTTTATTTGTATTCTAGCATTTTTTCTGTATCGTCTTCATTATATATATATATATATATATATATATATATATATATATATATATATATATATATATATATATATATATATATATATATAGTGATCAGTGAACAGTGTAGTGGTGTCTGGGGGCTCGGGAGACTGAGACCTCGGAAGCCCTGAGGAAGGCATCAGAGAGGATGCTGAAAGCTCGGCAAAATAGATATCGACGCGGTTCAACCCGGAAGACTGGTGAGTGTGATATTAAATTTAGTAATAATATTAATCTTAGTTAGCTCTAAGTTTTATTGTACTAACCGCGGAAATCTTTCCGAACATTATATATATATATATATATATATATATATATATATAATATATATATATATATATATATAGCAAAACTGATAAGATTATCGACCGAAACGTAAAAAACAATTTATTGTGTTGGAATATCGGGTATGCGGTCTGTTAATACCTGCTACCTGAATATATATATATATATATATATATATATATATATATATATATATATATATATATATATTCAGGTAGCAGGTAGATACATTTTACGATCCCGGTAAAGTTAGGTCTACTTCAGGATCGCGACCCTGCCTATGCGAGCCGTGGCTCACTCTCAATCCCTTTAACCGAGAGGGTACCACGTCCCAACCTATCATCCTTGTCGATGACGCCAAATTTCCTAGCCCATCCTACAATCCTTCTACCAACCCGCACAGGCCAGCGTGGTAGAGAAACGGCCAGGAACCCCGTAAAATGAGAAAGGAAGAAAATGCAAGGCCCTCGGTCTCCGGCAGTCCCTTGAAAACAGGCTATGGTAGCAGTCCTGTAGTTAGAGGGACAGAGGGTGCTAAGAATCACCGGAGTCAACCAGGCTACCTTCATAAACGACAACGGCAAAGAATATGGTTTATGGCAACATACAACAGAAGAACATTGATGGAGGACGAAAAACTAGTTGAACTGGAAAACGAGCTGAATCATATAAAATGGGATATACTTGGATTGTCCGAAGTACGGCGAAAGGGTGAAGAACAAATGGTACTTCCGTCGGGAAACCTATTGCATTATCGAGGAGAGTCTTCCAATGGTGGCGTAGGATTTATGGTAAATAAAAAACACACAAAGAATATACTCACAATTAAAAGCATAAGTGATAGAGTTATATATCTTATCTACAAAGTAAACAAAAAAATTCGGTTAAAGATCATCCAGGTATATGCACCTACTAGTACCCATACAGATGAAGAAGTAGAATGGTTCTACGATGACGTTAACACTGCCATACAAGAGACAAACACCAACTTTACTATACTGATGGGAGACCTAAACGCCAAAATAGGCCACAAGCAAGATGATTCGGAGTTTGTAATTGGACCTCACGGATATGGCGATAGAAACGAAAGGGGTCAAAACTCTCATAGAATTTCTTCTGCAACACAGGCTATATGTCATGAATACGCACTTTAAAAAAAGCGACCAAAGAAAGTGGACTTGGCAATCACCAAACGGTTTAAACAAGAACGAAATTGATTTTATATTTACTAACAAAAAAGACGCTGTTCAAGACGTAACTGTATTAAATCAATTTTCAACTGGAAGTGACCATAGAATGGTTAGGGCGAAGATAGTCTTAAACATACAGAAGGAAAGAAGACATATGGTAACAAGGACTAATAATGTTACATTCACTGCGATTACTAACACCAGGGTATACCAGGAAGAAATAGAGAGTAATCTACAGAAAGACCTGCAAGATGAAACCAGTATTGAACAGCTTAACGAAAAATTGGTAGAAGCCCTGAAGAAGTCACAGAAGAAGTGCCAAGCCAAGCACTCAACAAAAAATGAAAAACTCACAGAAGACAAAAGAAACCTAATGCAAAAAAAGGAAAATGAAAGAAAAGCATACAACGAACATTGCAGAGCTAAGGAATTTAAACAAAACCATTTCAAAAGCCATTAGGAAAGACATAAGGAACTTTAACACTAAGGAAATAACTGATACCGTAGAACAAAACAAAAGCTTAAAAGTTCTAAAACGAAAGTTGAAAATAGGAACGAGGAATATTTATAAGTTAAAAAATAATCAAGGACATGTCATACATGAACAACAAGAGATACTAAAAATCATCGAAGAGTACTATAGAACATTATATAGTCGAGATGATCACATTTCCGAAGTAGAATTCCAGCAATACTAAATCAAGGGTCAGAGGAACTTCCAGATATAACCGAAGAGGAAATTAAGTCAGCATTAAAAGGTATGAAGAACAACAAAACACCTGGAGAAGATGGCATTGTAAGTGAAATGATAAAACTAGGAGGCGAATGCGTCATAAAGGCTTTAAAAACCCTTTATAATGCCTGCCTCTTTGAAGGAAATACGCCAGAAAAATGGAATAATGCCATTATGATAATATTGCATAAAAAAGGAGATGTAACAGAAATTGGCAACTACAGACCTATCAACTTATACAGACCTATTAACTATTGACCATAGGTACACAACTCTTCTTCGAAATATATATGATAGCGCAACAGCTGCTGTAAAAATGTACTATGGTGACACAGACACATTTCCCTTGGAGAAAGGTATTAGGCAAGGAGACACTATCTCTCCTAAACTATTCACCGCCCTATTACAGAGTGCTATGAGAAAAAATAATTGGGAAAATATTGGATTAAATGTAAATGGGGAATTTTTGAACAACTTGAGGTTTGCAGACGACATAGTCCTTATTGCAGATCAGGTAGATCATGCATGCCAACTTCTTCAAGACCTTCAGAGCTCTTGTGCACGAGTTGGCCTTAAAATTAATTTTTCCAAAACACAATACATGACCAACCTGGTACTCGCAAAAAACATTTCCACTAATGGCACACAAATTGAACAAGTGTATTCCTATAAGTATCTGGGCCACGAGATTAAATTGGGAAGAGACAATCAAACAACAGAGTTAAAAAGGAGAATAGGACTGGCATGGGCAGCTTACGGAAAACTGAGGGAAGTCTTTAAATCAGCTATTCCCATGTGCTTGAAGAGAAAAGTTTTTGATCAGTGTGTACTTCCAGTTCTGACATATGGAGCAGAAACATTGACACTTACCAGAAAAGTAATTAATAAGATACAAGTGGCACAGAGAGCGATGGAGAGGTCAATGTTGGGCGTATCACTCAGGGACAGAGTTTCGAGTCAGATAGTAAGGAGAAAAACTGGTGTGACGGACGCAGTTGAAAGAATTACAACCCTGAAATGGAACTGGGCAGGACATGTTGCTAGGGTCAGAGATGGAAGGTGGACAAAGAAAATTTTAGAGTGGAG